CAAAGTTGAAGACAGAAAGGGGAAAGAAAGGGAGGTACTATTTACCAAGCACCAGAGCATTTATCTGGCACAAAAAAACCTATAAAAGAAGTGTAATTATCTCTTTTGTGGTTGAAAAAAATGAAGGGTTGGGGACATTATTCTAACATTTTCTGAATGCCAACTGCATGCCAGGCATTGTTGCTTTACTCACATTATTTCAATTAATCCTAACAAAAATATGCATAAGGGAAGTACTGCTACTATTACACCTGAAGAAACCAAGTCACAGAGAAATTAAGTAAACTGTTTAGCTTGCTCAAACTCCCCTAAACTGCAGTGGAGTTAACGACAGAAATGGTACAAAACTAGGCACTAGTTAATCCTGAGCAGGTCCTAACCAGCATACGACATTCACTGCTTTTTTTGGTAGATTCAGAAGTAGGAAAGTTACAGACAGATCAAAGATTCCTTTATATTCTAGACTAATGAGAGGAGGCCTTATTCTGATGGCACAGTTTTTAGGTAGAAAGTGATATGACTGAATTGATATTTTTGAAAAATGTTCAGGCAACAACATCTCAAATGGATTGACAATAGAGGTAAGACTGAGGGACCAGTAAGAAGAACTTTGTAAAAACTCAGAAGAGAGAGTTGATGAGAGCTCATCTAAGGTAGGAGTGATGTTGATGAAGATGAGAAAGGTGAGGAAGAAGATTTCTAGGGAATAAGATCCAAAGAACATGGTTGTTACTTAGATATTGAGGTAGTAGAGGAAGAAAGAGAAATCAAAGTGATCTCCAAGGTCAGAGATCCAATCACCATGAAATAAAATATATGATTTGAAGCCAGGCATGATGGCGGCACACACTCGTAGTCCCAACTACTCAGGAGCCTGAGGCAGGAGGATCACGAGTTCAAGCTCAGTTTGGGCAATATAGCAAGACTTCAGCTCAAAAAAAAAAATTGATTTGAGATAGTATTCTTTTTATGTATAATTTTATTTACTTTTAATTGTTTTGTCCATGTAATACCTATTTCTTGTAATAAAACTAGAAAATGTAAATCAGCAAAATAAACAAATTTGAAAGCCTGATAATTCTCCCATGAATATATACCATGTATCCATAACCTTAAAGGTAATTTCTTTTAAGTCTCATATATGTATCTGTAAGCCAAATAGTATCATATAATACATATTATTTTTGAAACATGACTTTTTACACTTAGCTATATATTTGAATGACTTTTCATGCTAAGATTTTTTTATAGCTAGTATTCCATTGGATGGATGTGTCATAAGAATTTAACAAATCCCCTGTCTCTGAGTGTTTGGTAACCTCCAATACTGTGCAATAATAAATAACACTTATGCATACATTTTCCTTACTTGCTTACTTTTACTTGGGATAAATTTTTGGAAATGAAATGCTATATCAAAAAGAAAGCCCTGCTTGAGACTTTTAGTGTCTGTTCTCAGGTTGCCCTGCAGAAAACTTCATAAGCTCCTCAGCCAAGGAGAGAATCTATTTGTCCATGCCTATTGGCACAAGGTATTAACAACCTTACAAAATGTTACCAAAATAAAAGATAGCCAATATTTGCATTTTTTAAATATGAATGAGGTCAAACATTTCATCCTATAATTATTGGTCATCTACATTTCTTCTTTAGTAAATTTCTAGTTCTTGTTTTTTGCCAATTGTCCTATTGGAGTATTCATATCCTTCTCATGTATTAGAAAAAGCTCTTTACATATTTTCTGTTTCCCCGTGAGACTGTAATTTGTTTGCTTCAACAAGATAATTTCAGTGTGTGTGTGTGTGTGTGTGTGTGTGTGTGTGTGTGTGTGTGTGTGTGTGTGTCTTACTTTGTCACCCAGGCTAGAATGCAGTGGCATGCTACTCACAGTCACCGCAGCCTCCACCTGCTGGGCTCAGGGGATGCTTTCACTTCAGCCTTCCAAGTAGCTGGAACTATAGCCGTGCTAATTTTTTGGTTTATTGTAGAGACACGACCTTGCCATGTTGTCCAGGTTGGTCTCAAACCTCTGCCTGCCAAAGTGCTGGAATTATAGGTGTGTGTGAGCCACTGCGTCCGGCAATTTCAAATATTTAACATAGCTTTGTATATTCTTTTTTTTTTTTCCGAGGTAGAGTCTCACTCTGTTGCCCAGGCTGGAGTGCAGTGGCACACTCATTGCCACCCCAGCGTCAACCTGCTGGGCTCCAGCTGTATATCCATTTTTTAACCTGTGTGTCTGGTTTATTTAAGTTTCTATCTTATCAACAGGGTTTACTTAATCCTCTAAAATTATTTCTGATAACTGGTATGGTTTGTTTTACTTCTGTCGCCGTAGTTTATGCAGTTTTATTCTTTATTCTTTCTTGCTGTTTCATTTTCCTATGGTTGTGTGGTGTGTGTGTGTGTGTGTGTGTGTGTGTGTGTGTGTGTAGGGTTTTCTTGTTGCTGTTTTTCTTCTCTACTGATCTGAAGGTCATATATTCTTTTCTCTATTTATAGTTTTGTGCATTTTATGTACAAATTTGAACCCCGGTTTTTATTTCAGTTTTATCATATTAGTGAAATCCACCTTCTTTCTACCATCTCTGTTTCTCTCATATTTTACACCTTTCTTTATATTATGCAAATATTATTTTCTTCTTTCCATTATACATTTTCTTTATAAGAATAAGCTTTGATATTTGTTTTCATTTTATAATTATTTTAGTTAGATATTTAGCAATTTACTGTATGTTCCACAAGTTTCATTTTGAGCAATTTATTGAACACCATTTTTCCCCATTGTTGAGTTCTTTATTTTGCTTTCTTTCTCAGTCAGTGAAATATCTCTTTATTTTAAAGCCATGCACATCCTCGAATGGCTTTCATCTCCTTCCTAGTTTCCTATAGCTTGCCCACATAATAATATGTGGATTTATAATTTTTTCACAGAGTTATATATCTTATTCCATTATTTTCCTGACATTTGTTTTTGCGCAGGAGAAATAGTTTGATTCTTCTATTTATAAGTATCTTTATTTATTTCCTGTAAGCTTATAATATTTTTCTTTCATCCCGGAGTGGCATTTGTTAATTTTGCCTGAAACTTCATGAGTATTTTTGTGCTAAAGCTTATAGTAAGGAATATATTCTTTCATTATTATTACAATTATTACTTCTCCTAGGACTACTCAGTTCTCTTGTTCTGGAAATATACAGCTTATTTTTCCTACCTCCAATGACAATTGTAATTTTGCAGTTGCAATTTATATTTTCTGTTCTATTTCTGTATTTATCTCAATCATTTTCTCCTATAGCTGCTGATTGCTGTTTAAAGGAGACCATGTTGTCGTGTATCTTCTTGAGGATGTTGATCAAATACTTACTGAAATTTCCATAGCAGAAAATATTCAATAATGCTAATAATTCAGTATCACTAATACAATACTTCCAAGCAATGTTTACTTTCTTTACGCTGGATTATTTTTCATATGTCATTATTAATATCTTGTAAATATTTCTCTCATTCATAGATAATCACAAATCTATCTAGAATTTTTTACTATATATCATTGGAAAATAATATCTTTTGTTTTAAAATAAAATTAAAAATTTTAGAAACATAGCTATTTTTCTAATAATTATACTATGTATCTTATCTCTCAATATGATATTTTTGTATTTTCAGTATGTGATAGTGGTTTAGCTTTAACTTTAGCAACCAAGTGACCTGATTTTTAGACACAGCACATGTGGTGGTAAAGAACATGGCCTCTGGATCCAAATTGTCTGGGTTCAAATCCCAGTTCTGCCACTTATTTATGGTATGACTTTGACAAGTTATTTAAACCCTTAGTGCTTTAGTTTTGTCATCGATAAAATAAGATTAATAATATTAATTACTTCATAAGATTTTATGATATTAAAAAGATAATATTTATAAAATACATAGAGTAGTCCCCAGGACATAGTGAATGCTATGTAAATATTTGCTTTAAAATTATAGCTCTGCCATTCATTGAATAAATTTAGTCAAGTTATCAACTATTTCTAAACTTCCATTTTTATCTTTAAAGTGAATATAATAATGCTTACTAATAAAATTAATGTAACTACTGATAACAATATTAACTTAATGCTACTTATTAACACTATGAGGATTAAAATGTCATTATATAAGTGCACATTACTTGGCTGCGACTGTTTTTTAATAATCAGATGATTCTTGAGACTATATTACATTTGATTGGCTGAACACTGCACGCTCCTTTAGTCCACAATTTCTCTATTTAAGTTTCTTAAATTTAAGTTATTTTACAGATGCGTAAGTCCAGAGGAATTAATTTACAAATTCAAAGCCACATTGTCAGTGCAGAGGGAGGATTTGAAGCAAGGTCAATTAGATTCTACTTTTAATCTTTTTTTTCCATGAGCCTGGGAAAAGCAGGGTCTTTAATTCTTTTTCTTCAAAGGGCCCATTTCCCATCAGTTGGACTCTTTCCCTCAAGCCTTTCACTTTCTCCTCATCCTTTGTCAAGTGCTTTGAACAGAAACAATGGGCTAAGTGCTTCTTACATATCTGCAGTTACTCTTCTCTGCTGGGAGGAAGGCTGGAAACTCAGTAGGAGAGGTGAGATGCTCAGGATGGGGGAATGGAGAATGGAGGATACTGTATTTATCAAGATTTTTTTAAATCTATTGAGTGTCATCGATTCCTTCTAGTCCATCAACATAGGTTACTATTTTGTGTTTTCTCACAAATCAGCCCAGACATAACATGCTGTGTTGTGATCGGAACTAACTGTGGGACATAAAAGACTCCCTGACAGCCTGAAAATAACAAACTACATCACTCCTTACCACACACACACAAAAATGTTGGTCTCTTCTTCATTGAATTATATTATTTCTGTGGAAAGCTACTGTTTGCCTTTCTTTCCCTAATTCCAAACATTTTGTTAATTACCAACTGATATACCACATCCAATGGACTTCTTTGGCTTCTTGTCTGCCCACAGCTTGCCCTTCAGGGACATACAAACCTGAAGGTTCGCCAGGAGGAATCAGCACTTGCATTCCATGTCCTGATGAAAATCACACCTCTCCACCTGGAAGTACATCCCCTGAAGACTGTGTCTGCAGGGAGGGATATCGGGCCTCTGGCCAGACCTGTGAAGGTATATCTCCCACAGTTGACAAATAGGAAATATAAAAGTTGATCTCTTTGAGAGAAATAGTGCTGGTGTTTGCATCTAATTCGTTTAGAATAATCTTTAATGCTCCTTTCTCTAATCATAGTTTGGGGGTGGGATGATTTGCCTTTATTACATTCTTACTACTGAACACATCCATATCTTGCTCCAGATCAAGGGGATCTGAGACCCTAGGAGTAATGTACCTTGGAATCAGAAAGATTTAGTACTTGGAAAAAAGTCTAAAATGAATCAAAAAAGAGAAAAGCTGCAATTTTAACAATAAATTTGGATAGCAATAAACTAATCTTAGTCTTGATGATAGTCAAATTTATTTTTTAAATATATTTTCATAAGTAAAGGGTCTTATATTGTTCATTTTTTTGGAATATTTAAATAGCATATTCCATGTACAAGAATCTGTGGTTCTTGTAGTTTTTAGCAAATATACTTTGCTAGTCTTATTTGTTCTTTATTTTGTGCCACCTTCATTAAGAGGGAAAATAATGAGTTACAAAAATCAAGAACTAGAAAATCTCATCTGTGTAGATATCAAAATAAAATGTTTTTAAGGTTTGAAAAAAATTAATTTGTATTTAATATTTTAATTGGAGGTTAATACCTAATAAAAATCAGATGTAAGGTTTTTCTTTAAAGATGTACTTAAAAATCCAAATGCAGTAAGTGGGGAATTGAGATGTCAGTATAAAATGTCCCCTTAAACAAGAAAAACAAAAGATGAAAAAAAATTCTCTATGCTTCATAGACAAAGGCTAACTTTGCTTTTTTGATTCTATTTCTATAAATGTTAGTTGTTCACTGCCCTGCCCTGAAGCCTCCTGAAAATGGTTACTTTCTCCAAAACACTTGCAACAACCACTTCAATGCAGCCTGTGGGGTCCGATGTCACCCTGGATTTGACCTCGTGGGAAGCAGCATTCTCTTGTGTCTACCCAATGGTTTGTGGTCCAGTTCAGAGAGCTCCTGCAGAGGTATGCAAACTGTCAATTTACGTTGTTTATTGATTGTCTTGCTTGATTTCTTTGATTTAAACTCTGATGGGCCAGTCAGACCTTTTGTTTGTTTGTTTTTATTTCTCATACCACAGGCCATAGAAAGCGAAAAATTATAGAAAATTTGAAGTTAGAACTACCGAGTTCAATGGACCACATTATCATAAACTATCCCTTTTGTGTTTCTTTTATGAACAAGCAAAAAAAAGACTTGCCTGGGAAGTAAATGGACAGGTTACCTAAATCTCAAATTTCAAACCACCAAGACAGGGTGCAAAGGAGAGTTCTGGAATAATCTGAGTGGAGACTTTGATGCCAACTGTAATTGCTAGACTTAGGGAACTATACTTGGGAAACCTGGAGTAGGAGCAGTTAGCCAACTTGTTTATGTCCAGCCTCCACTTTGGGTAGACAACAATCTATAGAAGTATAGAATGTGCCAAAGTAAGATCTTAGGGAGCCTAATTAGGCCATTAGGAAAGGGAGCAGTACCATGGGGAGAACCAGAGGATCCCATATCAGATACAGAGAAGGAGCAAACAAAATAGTATCTCAATTTACCTTCACTTCCCATCTCCAGGACCTCTTTTTTTTTTTTTTTTTTTTTTACAACTCTTCCATAGCCAACTTCCTAAGGTATCACAGGTAGGATTGGAAGAGGAAGTTATCTAAGAAAAGGTAAGAGGGGAGCAAGTCAAGCGATTTGAGAACTTCTTCCAGAATCCTAAAGCTTCTCAATATAGTTAGTATTTACCCCCTACCTTGGGATACTAGACGAAATACAGGATACCTACTTAAATATGAATTTCAGCCAGGGGAAGAAGGGGGCACACTTTATCAATAGGGTACCTATCTCAAACCAGGTGAAGTGGGGACCAAAGTGAGACCCAAATTCTACCTACATAATGGTCATTTGTATACCTAACGCTGAATTGTACCCCACATCTTTAAAATAAAAAAAATGCATTTCAAATAAACAAATAATTTTTTTTGTATAAGCAAATCCTGTGCAAATTTTGAGACCTACTTATCCTAAAAAAAAATTTGTTGATTTTCTGAAATTTAAATTTAACTGGGTATTCTAATTTGTTTGCATATTTGTTTGTAACTAAATCTAGCAACCTTACCTCCTATCACATCCCCAAGACATTCTTTGGCAAAACCATTTGCTAAGGATTTGACAGCTCAAGACCCTACAAATTACCTGGATTACTGAATTAGAGTAAGAAGATCTATCTTCTGATCTTATCTTGGCTCCCATATTCCAAGGGAAGTCTACCTACTTGTCACTCTGAGATCAGTTGTGAAGCCCAGGAGACATTCATTGTTGCTATACAGAACCCACTTATAAATATAAATTTGCCTAGATTATGTCGCCAAAAGACAAGGAAATCTCAAAATTATCCGCAGATTAAACAAAGACCTGGAAGAAAATGGGGAAACCTGGAATCATTGAGATTCAAAGGCAATTACAATGTTAAAGTGAGACTAGGATTCCAAGAAATAGGAGAGATCAGAGACCAAAAAAGATTTTTTAGAAGAAAAAAAAAAGTTGCTTACACAATGATTGGATATAGTTGAAAGCCAAATTAATAAATTGAAAACTGACTCAAGAAATTCATTTGAAAGCAAAGGGAAAAAATGCCAAGGATCAAAACATTTTTTGAAAAAATAAAGTAAAATAAGAATAGTCACAGGATATAGAGTCTTCTCACATTAGGAATCCAGAGAGAGAATGGAGTGGAGGACATGCACTAATAGAAGATCAAATAATACCCCAGAGCTGAAAACTTGAAAATATACACAACCCAAATCTTGGCTATTCAGTTTAAAATCACTAGTTAGTGCCAGAAAAAAGTTATTAAAAACAGATTTATGTCTGGAAATAATCTTCATAAAATTTCTGAATGCCCTGGAAAAGTAGAAAACTGTGTCTCTTTCATAGTTAGACATAATATTGCCTACAAAGGAAAGATAATCAGTCTAGCCTTGGGCTCTTTGTTAGCCATTCCAAATTTTAGAAAATAAGAGTATGTTTCTAGGATTCTGGGGAAAATGCCTAAACCCTGAATTTCTAGACTCAGACAAGCTACCATTCATGAAGGTAACAGAAAGACATTTTCTGCCATGCAGTCTCTCATAGTAAAAAGCCACATACTACCACTGATTTTTTTTAAAATCTCTAAAATATATTTCTGTGAAGTCAACAGTTCTAAGTTCTGTGTAAAACCTCTACCTCTTCTTCCAAATACCTTGTGGCAAAGAATGGGAAACACTACCTAGTGGCCTTCCAAAGGGGAGTGAGAAAGTCAGGGAAGGTTACTCCTTCAGGATCAGGTATGGCTCTACCATCCATACCCAAGCCTTGAATCCAATACTAAGTCATGAGAAATGACCATGCCCTTTCCAGGAGACAGACCTTTGCAAGTTGTTCTCACACTGTCAGATCTCTCTGTCTTTGCTCTGGGTCCTCCTCAACTCCCTACTGTTGCTGACTTCGTCGGCTTGAGTGTGGTGACCTCTGCACATGCATCTGTAGACCTGTACGCCATCATAATAGTTCTTAGTCTGTGTGTGTCAGGGTCAGTCAGGGAAGCAGTCACCGAGCATATTATAGGGTGAGGGGTTTAGTTCAGAAAGCAGACCTTACACAATTTTAGAAGAAGCTTGGAAACTGAAGATCCAGGAGAGAATTTGAATGATCAGAGGAGTTCCTGCAACCACACTCACTCAGTCACTGAAATGGAACTGCAAAACAGAAACTCGTCGAAAAGTCCAAGAGAAGCTTCACCTGTGTTTGGTCACGCCCCTAGTCTCTGCAATCAAGATTCCAGCAATGAACATGGAACCATCATTTGTCAATGGGATCAGGAGTCAGGACATGAAATGAAGGCAGCAGAGGCCACCTGGAATCCCCCAGGCATCTCTGTATTTGTCCATCACTGACTCTGACTACAATGACCACTCCTTCACTTCTGCTTTCCAAGATTGAACATGAGTTCCTCTTTTGATCAATAGGCAATTCTGACAAATTTTGTGTTTCCCAGCTTAACTAACTTGTTATAATACAAACCACCACACTTATTTTTATGGTCAATTAATTTGTCTGTTACCTCTTCTAAACTGTGATTTTATTGTGAGCACAGAATGTATTATTTCTCTTCAATTGTTGATGCTTCAGATGACTGAATGAAAACTCGAATTTAACAAATGCACATGTTGATAAACATATACATTGATGTACACTGATAAATATAGTATATACATTGATGAACTGCTTGTGTCACTTCACATTAAAAAGCATGCATGTCTGAGTGTGGTGGGGCACTTCTGTAGTCCCAGCTACTTGGAAAGCTGAGGCAGAAGGATCCCTTGTACCCAGGAGTTCAAGGCTGCAGGAGCCAGTATTGCACTGCTGCACTACTGTACTCCAGTCTGGAGGGCAGAGAAATTCCTTAACTCTAAACAAGCAAACAAAAAATCCCAAACAACACAAAGTATGTCTGTTATCTTTTATGTAATTTGTCACAATTTCTCTCTATATAAAATAATCTTAATTGGAGTAGGAGAGATGCTATAAGACCATTGTTCTTCCTAAGATCCCTTCAACTTCACCACCAAAGCTACTACCTAACTTACCAGTATACAAAGTTGTCCTGAATGACGGCACTTACCCAGGCCTTTCCCATGCCTCATCATTAAGGATTAATGGTCCCTGATGTGATTCCATCCTGCGTGGCTGTTCTTTGGAGTAGTCGTTTGCCTCTGTCCCCCTTCTCTCCCACCTAAGTGTGCGCCACCACCCCATGGAAGATTCGATGGACATGGACATGAGCTCCCTGAGGCCCCAGAACTGTCTTTTCGGTTGTGAACTAAAGGTTGACAAAGATTATCACTTTAAGGTGGCTAATGATGAAAATGAGCACCAGTTATCTTTAAGAACGGTCAGTTTAGGGGCTGGTGCAAAGAATGAATTGCACATTGTTGAAGCAGAGGCAATGAATTATGAAGGCAGCCGAATGAAAAAGTAACACTGGCAACTTTGAAAATGTCTGTGCAGCCAACGGTTTCCCTTGGGGGCTT